TATAAAATGTGATTTGAGACCCTTTTTTTATAGGTGTAAATGTAAATACTTTTAAGTCTACTCATATATAATTTAACCAAGATTCACTTATATTTGACAAGTTTTAAAATTATAGTTTATATTTTTTTATATTTATTTTATATATACATTTAATATTATTTTTATTCAATATTATTATAATTTTATTTTTATTTAATTTTATGGTTTTTAAATGGTGAGGGCAACATTACTCTTTTGAGAATAGTTTAGAGACAAAATTGCTAGATTGCACCCTAACTCATGAAAAGTGAGTCCCATTAGCTACAGTAATAAATGTTTTAATAACAGGGGCAACATTGCTTCAATTTAGTTAGTTTAGAGGCAACATTACTACTATGAATAATTTAGAAGTAACATTACTATGATGAATAGTTTAGAGACAACATTGCTTTTCTGAGAATATTTTAAGGACAAAATTGCATTTTAACCCTTAAAAAGAAAAAAACTCTGCAATTCATTATTGCTAAAGGGGTTGAAAATTGAACCAAATTAACAGCTGATATTAATAATTAAAATTTTCAATATTATCATCAAACGTTTGTATACATTTGTAGAATTAGGCTAACAATTAACGTTACAATTAACGGGCAGATAAAATGAAAACAAAAGAGTTAAAATTATATCCAATTGTGCCGCCCCGAGCCCCATCTAATAATCGACCGTGTCTCTCAAGTAAAATTACTTTTAATAAGAAGATATTTATAAACAACAAAAAATTTAAAATTGTATCCATACAATAGGGACCCGCATGCCCCATTGTCTTTCGTACAATATTTTGTGAGTCACTACTACGGGTCTATGAAAATGCAAATCAAGATACGGTAGTGCAGGGATAAGAACATAAAATTATTTAACATAGGAAATTGTAGACTGTAAAAAGATTGGATTCTCCTTTTAAAACTCAACAATCAATTTTGATATGAAGAAGACTTAATATATCCATCAATTCAATTTCGATGTAATTTTAATTCAAACTCTATCACATATACAGATAAATTTTGATTGAAACAGATGCTTTAAATTGTACATAAGAAATAAAACATATCATATCATTAATTTAAATAATGTCATATATAGCAAACTAATTTTAAAATAATGCATCTGATCTATCGATTCAATTGGAATGATTGATATAACTTTAAAAATTGATTATAATGTTTTGAGATAATGTTTGATATCAATTTTTATACATCATGAATAACACCAATGTCCTGTTTTTGATGTTGTCACCTTCAACGTCTCGAATGGGATATGAAGTCTTAAAGTTACGTAATAAAGTTAGAAGACTGAAATGCATTCCAGAAAACTTATATATTGATTGTCCATGCGTGTGCTTTAATTAGTCATTGCTCTTGTGAAGTTTCGATGTTAGTGACACAGACACAGACACATAGCAGGTGGTTGTAAGACTAATTTCTCAAAGAATTTAAGCATCATTTAAGGAGTTGTTTTTTCTCAAGTGACGTTCTTCATACACATATCCAAAAATCAAACACTAAAAGGATGTTTAAATAGCTCAAACTACTACTATTTGTATCACACCCATTTTGTAGACATCAAAATCTTTGGTCACACATTTGATAGTTAATTACAACTACTAAAGAGGGGAAGAAAAGCATTCAATAAAGTGCATCATTATTTAACAAATTAAAGTTATCTTTTTTTGTGAATTGTATCGAATACAAAAAAATGAACTGATGTTTATTGGTTTAAGTCATACAATTTGCTATAAATCTGATATTTGATTTTATATTTTTATTATATATACATAATTTTATGCAGAAATTTTTATATTTTAAAATTATGGGTTAGTGATTACTTTAATTGTAAATTTTCACACAAATCTTCCTACGTTCACCTATGATAAAATACTTTTTGATCTATAAATAAAATTAGAGAAACTATTTTCAGTTATGATTCATCCTGTTTGTGGGAGAAGACAAATATTATTTCTCATCCCATGGGCCTGTTTCTTAATTAAATTAAATTTATTTTACTTTTTTTCTAGCGTGCTAAACATGGCAATGATGATAATAAGTCCTAAATATTTCGAAACTTTGAGCGCACTACTACGAACTTATCTCTTTTTTTATCCAGAAAATCAAACAAGAACCCAAGTGCACGTTGATCATATATACCACAGTCACACACATAATTTTCCAACCTTTTAAACTATTGAATAATTTAAAGAAAGAATATGAGTGAAGAATACTTCAATGACTGGGTTTTCTAACATTCTGAAAACGCCAACTGGTATATAAGTCATATATTTGAGACTTTTGATTGCATAACTATTGACTTATTGGAGGAAGCACTAAGAGTAATTGAATAGCTATCAATAAGTCTGATTTGATTAAATATGGCCATGTGGCCATGTCTCACGAACTTCATTTCACAATCTTCTAATTTATTAAATATGAGTGAAAAATACTTCAATGACTTTTTGACGTCATAAGCGTGAATTTAGGTCCTTAATTAACATAAAAATTTTTAATTCAACATCCTTTAGGAATAATTAGATCATAACCCTGTGCGATTCAAGGGCAACTTTTGATTAGTAAATAACCATATTTATAAATATTATAATCATATTTTCTCAACTGATAAAAAATTGTGATTTATCTGATGAAAGGTCCTGGATTTAGAATTAAATTTTTGGGCCATTCTTGACCCGTATTTTTTTGGATTGTTAATTTACAAATAATTCTTAAAATACCAATAGTTTTTTTAGCTTCATTGGTAAAAAAAAAAAGCAAATAATATATGATCACTAACCATGTGCAATTAAACAATAATTGTTACCTGACACAATAATTTCGTGAAAGTTAGTATAGTTAAAACAACATACTTCAGAAGAGTTACATATTCTTTAGCAATCAGTTCTTTGGCCAGTAATAAAATAATATGCTCCAAACATGAGATAAATTATAGAACTGAATATTAATGGGAATTTCTCTCATCACATTGAATAATACATGCTAATCAAAACCCTTTATTACAAATCGTCATTGTTGTCACACACATACTGAAGCAATTACAAAGACTAATAACAAGAGACACAATAGGCATATAGTGCCATACAAATGGACCATGGACAAGGCTTTATTAGAAATTATCATTGTTGTTACACACACAGTGAAACAATTACAGAGACTAATAGCAAAAGACATAATAGGCATACAGTTCTATACATAAGGGCCATGAGCAAGGCTTCTGAGGATCCTCTTCATCTTTGCTATCTTTAATGTGGTGTGCACATATATTTCATCAGCTACATCTTTCACTCGTCAAAAACAAGCATATCTCCAACTCTTCTTCAACATTAAAGTCCCAATGACTCCCCAAAAGCCAACACCAAACCCCATTGCTATGACAATAAGTAAAACCACACTTTTTTAGAATCATTTTCATCTTCCAATTCTTTGGTTTCAGGAACTTGATGAGTATCATCACCATTGACACTTATTTTGTAGTGGGCTTCCATAAAGAAAAGGGTTTCCAATATAAATGGATGGATCCTTCAAAGTCAACAATTGATTTTTAGTTGGAATTATCCTTGAAAGGTTATTGTATGACATATTTAAATGACTCAATGCAGTTATCTTGGACATGCTCTTTGGAATTGTGCCGAAAATTTTGTTACTAGAAATGTCAAAGGATTCAAGGGATTTCATATTCCCTATTATATCTGGAATCTCTCCTCTCAAATAATTGTGTGAAAGGTTTAAACCTATTAATCTAATAAGTGAGAATAACTCAAGAGGAATTGATCCTCCCAAATTGTTATTTGACAAATCCAAGTTGACCAAGAGTCGCAAGATTCTAGTAAAGTCAAATTCCCTTCCTTTGATAACTTGGTTGGCATCCTGATATAACCAATAATTGAGCATGTTCTCTGTGATGAAATCGGTACCTTCACTAGCATCATTTATTGATTTCCACATGTTAGCACTATCTTTAGTCATTCCTGTAAGATTGCTGATGCAATGGGGTATTGAGCCACTTAAATTATTATTTGCAAGATCTAAAATCTGGAGCGATTGAAGTTGGCAAAGCTTTGAAGAAATGTTACCATCTAACATGTTATCCCACAACCTTAGAATTTGCAGAGCTGGAAAAGTATTGCTAGTCCATGATGGTATACCTCTAAAAAACTTATTTTCACCTAAATCTAAAATTCTCAAATGTTTCATATTTTTCAAACTCAATGGAAGCTTCCCTTCAAGATAATTATTGTTCAAATGCAGCCAAAATAATGATGAAAGCTTGATGAATGAGATCGGGAAGGTACTGAACAATTTGTTGAATGAAAAACTTATTTCCATCAATCCATATTCAAGTGGTTGGTTATCTCGCCAACAATTTAGAATATCACCAGAGATATTGTTATGGGAAAGATCAATGCTTCTTAGATGTACAAGGTGACAAAGACTTTGAGGAATATTGCCGTAAAAATAATTATTTGAAATATCAAGGGTTGTTAGATTTACAAGTTTACTAAAACATTGAGAAACATTTCCACTAAAAGAATTATTTGAAAGGTCAAGGATTTTAAGATTTACAAGTTGACCAAAACTATGAGGAATATTGCCACTTAAATAATTACTTGAAAGATCAAGGCCTTCAAGATTTACAAGTTGGCCAAGATTTTGAGGAATACTGCCACTTAAAGAATTATTTAAAAGAACAAGGCTTTTAAGATTTACAAATTGACTGAGACTATGAGAAATATTATCACTTAAAGAATTACTTGAAAGATAAAGACTTTCAAGATTTACAAGTTGACCAAGGCTTTGAGGAATATTGCCGCTTAAAGAATTCCTTGAAAGATCAAATTTGTTAAGATTTACAAGTTGAATGAAACTTTAAGAAGGAAGCAAGCACCTAAGTGGAGTGGGCAAGTTGTGAAGTCCACATCCCTCTAAGTGGAGTTGCAACAAAGAAGGAAGCATGGGAAGTACCTAGAACAAGTTGTGAGCTTTATCAAGGAAAACACCATTCAAGTTAAGATGTTGCAAAGGCTGAAGCTTAGAGACCCAATTCATGTCATTGATTTGCAAATAATTCCAACTGAGATCAAGAAATTTCAAGTTTGTGAGGTTTCCAAGATTGGCAGGAATCTTCCCTGTGAAATTAGCATAGTAGATAGAAAGATATCTTAATTGCTCCATAGAACCAAAAGAGATAGGAATTGGGACACCATTGAAGTTGTTCCAAGACAAGTCCAAATAAATCAAATTTTGTAGCTCCGTCAAAGATGGATCAATGTGAGTAGCTTCTAGGAAATGAAAACTGAGATTAAGTTTGAGGATATGACTAGTAACATCATGACAAGCTCTGCCATCCCACAGGCAACAGTTGGTTTTGGGATCCCAGGAGGAAAGTATCTTATGTGGATCATGAAGAATGGATTCTTTGAATTTGAAAAGAGCTTGCCTCTCTGATTCAATGCATCCTTCACACGAACCTAATTTGGTAATTTTGGATAAGAAGAAAAGCAAGGCAAATCCTGTTATGATGTGTCTTCCCATGTTTAGAGAATGAAGCTTAAACAAGTGAACTTTCTGTATGAAATATCTCTTGTGATGAGTGGAGTGTGGCTTTTGTTGAATATATGAGCAACTATTTATAATATTTTGTGGCTTTTGGTCCATGATTTTTTTAAAAAAAATTGTAAGGTAAAAGATAATAAAGAGTTATATTTGTATGCTTTTAAGGGTTAAACACCATTTTTTCCCTTAAACATTTTTTTAGAAGCACTGGGCACCTTATGCTAAATGATTGGGCAATATTCCTTCTAAACAATTTTTTTAAGAGCAAAATGGGCCTTCCAACAAAGACTCACTATCTTCTCTATTATCTGTTGATATAAAATAGTTGTGGGGCCCATGAATTCGGACCCATTTTTCCACCTTTTTGCTACTAAAATCTGTCTTGGTTCCTTCCATTCCACTATCACTTCCAACCCATTTGCCTTTCTCAGATAGTCAAAATAGATCAGAATGCCTTGTTGTTATTGTATGTGGGCCCAAAAACTAAGGCTGCACAAAAGATTGGATGAGATTGGACTTCGGCCTAACTTGAAGTTTGGTTTCTTTTATAAAAAAGACTAAGTTAGGCAACCTGGAGTCCAGTATAGTTCAATGATAACCTAAAGATTAACAGAACTGAATTTAGTCTATAATATTGGGAGACAAATACTGTTAGTCTAGTACTCACTTAGCTTTTTTTTTTCTTTTTTCTCTATGAGAGGCAATAATCCATTTTAACTTAATAAACTCAATTAAGATAATAAAAAAAACTTATAATCATAATAAATCCATAATAATTTCCAACAATAAGGAAAAAATATTTTAGTTACAGTCCAAGTGGTTCAAATTATTAAATTATTAGACCAAGCATGCAACTATGCGAGGAACCAGACTTTTTTTAAATCATTATTATTCTTAACTTATTATTATAAATAATTAATAAATTAATTATAATCATGTTAAATAAATTTAATAGGACCAGACTAGACCAAGAGGTCCTAATGCTCAATTTCTTGTCCAGTCCAACCCAAAGAAACAGTTTGTCCTTTTTAGTCTTTTAGTCCTGAAGGACTAATTTTTAATAGGACTAGACAGGATCAAACCTTCTTAGGTTAGACTGGGTCGAACAAGATTGAAAGATTTCTGCACAGCCCTACCAACAACTATTCCATATTAGCAGATAATGAGTCTCTAACAGAAGGGCAATTTTCCTCCTGAAAAAATGGTTTAGAGAGGACATTGACACAACCTTCAATATAATGTGCCAATACTCAAAAGAAAAAAAAATTAGGAGGAAGATGGTTTTAAACCCTAGCTAGTTTTGAACATAACTATTTACTTGTAGTTTTCTACAAGCTTTATATTGAAGTCATAAAAATTATCCATCTTATCAATTTTATCCTTGAACATGTTTCAAAACAGAACAAATAATATCCAATTAAAACAAAAAACAAAAATCTTTAAATCTCAATTGAATTTGAAGCTAAATAGCCAGGCCTGGATGGTCATCATGCAAAAACCTGAAAATAATATGTGAAAAAAATTATAAAATATAAAATATTTTAATTTCGACATTAATTATTCATGTACAGTATTACAAACATTATAAAACTAGGAATCTTTAAAAAATATATATACTTAGGAATCTTTTTCTTGGGCGAACGTTTGAAATAAATTTATTGTTAAGGATTGTGTATTGTTAAAAAATATTTTAAAGATAGAAATTATATTGTTCAAAAGCCAATTCTTACATGCTTAATTGCTTATCGTGAAATCGTTCATTACTTAAATTTATTTTTTTAAAAAAAATGATCACGATATCCATTGAATCATAACAGTGCAAAATACTAATTTTAATTTCCCAGAAAAAAGTTATGGAATTTTAACCACGGTTAGCTAATTATTTTCGAAGTAATGCTTGGCAAGAATTTTATTTACTATGGTTCACTCTGACATTACAGTCACAAAATTTCCAGCCCAAGAAGTTACTGTCACATGATTAAGACAATCGGATTTAAATATCGTTTTTAAGTCATCTAAGAGAATAAAAAATAAATATTTTGTACTCAACAAAATTATTGTCTAATGAAGTTTTTATTTTTAGCTCTTAAATTTTAATTTGGTTCAACTCATTCCCTATAATTTTGACTTAATTAAAATTTAATACCTGAATTTTGACCTATTGTAATAATCTTATAGTTTAAATCATTTAAAATATTACTCCCTAAAGTTCAAATAAAGTGGGAAATCATTCCAAAGTTCCTCATAGGCATTCTAAATACTCTAATGTCCTATGAAATGGACAAACTGCCCCTAAATCTTAAATCTTTTATTTTAAATATATTTTGTATTAAATTAATAAAATACCCTTACTTTTAAAAAGAAAAATCCACCACCGGTCATTGGAGCCCTAACCCATTGCCGGTGGTTGGAACTACCATCACTAGTGAAGCCCAGACCATTGAAACTATTTGTTAAATACTTGCAAAATATTTTTTATATATATTGAATTTTTGGAGATAGAGTTGATGAAACGGAATTTAATAATGATTAATGTTATATAAAGTATTTGTTATTTATGCTCGATCACTTGTTAATGAGGAATGTGCTCATTAAATAGTTAATATTATATAAGATACTCGTTATTGATGACTTATTAATGAAAAATATGCTCATTTAATAATCACTGTTTACAAGTATCACGCCACTTATTACAGCAAGTAGCTTATACAACAATACATACCAATAAATAGTTGCTACTGGTAAAAGAATTTTTTAAAAAAATTAAAATTGCTTAAATCTTATTTAAGATCAACTGTGTTATAAAATAGATTAAATTGATTGGTTATATTATTTATTGAATGTGGAATGTTAGAATTACTTGAATACAAAATTTTAATATCTAATTTTGCAAATTAAAAAAACTAACAAAATGATATGAAGATAAATTAATTTATGACAATATAATAGGCCTCTTAAATAATTTTGATTTAGGTTCCAAAACTTCTTGGCGATCACTGAAAGGACTTTTCTTTACCTTATTCTTGACAATGTTACATAAATCGTGTGGAATGGGTGAAGTGTTGAAAGACGAAAGACGACGTCTTGCTCTCATGATGTTTGTTTGGCATTGTCAAAAACAAGTTTATAAGATACGAAAGAAGTAGAAATCTAAGAATTATGTCCACCTTATAATAGTATTTAAGTATAGTTTCAATTTTATTATATGTCACCCAAAAGGATATTTAATTTATTAAAGTGCTTAGTCATTTTATCCATCAGGAAGGTTTTTTAAAGGAAAAAATCACTATCAAGTCCCACCCAACAAATTCAATTACACCAAAGTCCCATGAGAAGTCAAAGCAACTTCAAAGTCCCAATTGCTTGTGCAATTGCAAAAGTATCCTTACATTAATTATTTTAAAAAAAATATGTAATTATTAATTACCACCAAAGCTTTGAATGCTAGTACTAGAAACCTCCCAGCCTGGCTCCGACGATCGCCGGAGCACTGGCCAACATTATGAGCGGATTAGAACCCAAGACCACATGGATCTCAAAAAGCATATAAACCACTATGCCATTCAAACACTTTAATGTGTGTGTGTAAAAAATTATATCTATATATTAAATTTGGGAGACAAAGTTTGTGAAATGAAATTTAGTAGTTAATGATGTATAAAGTAGTTGTAAATAACCATATTTTTCACTAACAAGCCATCCAGAATGAATAATAAGTGCCTTACATTTCAGTGATTACTAAAATGTATAATTTTCATTAATAAGTGACCCAGCCTGAGCATTTGTTTGTGTGTTGGAAAACGTCCAATTTCGTCAACAACTCTTGTGTCGCCACGATAAATTTCAACGCAAATCTTTCAGTGTGTTTAGAATTTAGATGACAAAATACTGATCTATAAATATTTTTTAAAAAAATAGAAAAATTATTTTCAGTTATACTTCATCCTGTTTGTGGGAAGATAAATATTATTTCTCATCCCATCGACCTATTTCCTAATTAAATTTAATTTGTTTTACTTTTTTCTGAATAATTCAAAACTTTGAGGGCCCTATTTACATATCTATCTTTTTTTTAAACAAAAAATCAAACAAGACAAGTGAGTTAAATTTATTGATTGAATTTTTTGACAACAATTTAATGATTGAATTCTAATCTAGTAAAAATTATAGCAAATGAATTGTAATAAATCAAATTTTTTATTTTCATTTTTGACGGAGTCAAAACTAATAGATCCAAATGATTAATTTTTCATAATAATTATGAAATAACATTCCCCTATATTTTTATAATATATCTTTTAAATTGCAGTAATGTGTTAATGGGTACCACTGGACGTGGCCACTTGGGTCTCGCCTTGCGGTGTCTTTGGACTTGAAATAGTAAAAGAATTTTCCAATCTATAAACCCAAAACGTGAGCTTTAATTAATGTATGTGATTAACAATTTAGCATCATAGGGGCTTCAGTTTGCAAGATATTTAAAAATAAATGTTAGAAATTATAAATATGCAATTTTCCTTTATCAGTGTTGAGTGTGTCTTATTTTTTTTGGTGTTACATAACGTGTAGAATAAGTTTTTAAAGTCATCTATTAGAGATAAAAGTCTCCATCTTTTGGTTAAGTTTTTGAATGAATTAATATATGATTGTCATTTTTTTTGTGAGTGTAGTCTTGGATTGGAGACTTTTCATTTTGGATAACAAGTGTTAGTCTAAATCCCCTTTGCCGTGATTAATTATGCGTCCCAAACGCCATTTTCCACATTTCTGATGTCTATATTTTTTACTGATGAATTTTTGTTATTTTTAAATTAAATTATACATTTCTTTTTCATTTTAATGGACAAAGTATACATATATTCTTTTTTTTTATTAGAATGTATACATATATTCTATTTGAGAATTGTAAAACATATAGTGAACATTTAATTAAGTCCATGGTCATTTAATTTGTAAAACAATTTTATTATATGTCACCC